TCTGCTTCAATCTGATGAGCAAATTGGATTATCAATTCATTTGATGCTTGCTTGACCATGCCGATGAGTTCCATAAACGATTTCCATGAATATTCAGCATACGGTGTCATTGGAAAGTCTAAGATATTGCACATAGCCAGAAAGAGGGGAACATGAGGACTATATACTTCAGCAGCTCGTTTTAATCCTTCTTTTTCTGTTTCAAAAATCCTCAAAGCCTTTAGAGCAGCAATCAAACTACTCTGATGCGTATCATACTCATCATCATATGATCGAAGAAGTGTCTCTCTTATGTACTCCAAATGGACATGAATGCAATCCTTGGGAAGACAATCAATGCTGGCTAAGATGTGACTTGAGTAAACATCACACATGTGGCTTTCTGTGTACTCAAAGGCATCATACAATGACCTAAGCTTTGAGTTTTGCTTCAAAAGCAATGTCCTGGAAGATTGACCCCATTGTTGAATCCCTTCCGTTGGTATCTGAACAGGAAGCACAAGGACTTTTCTCCGAATCTCAAGAGAAACAAGCTCTCCGTGGACTGTACAGTGCAGTGGTAGTGATTTTATTTTTTTCTTCCAGTCATCAAGCTTTTGAACATCCTTAATATGATCCACAAAATACTCCAAAATAGCATCAGAGTTTGTCTTTGAGAGACTTTGATATCTAGACTCGTAGCGGTGTAGGTAAAGACAGTTTAACACCATAACTGGCTTTCTGTTATTTGGTATCAGTGATAACAAAACAGGGGACTGTAATAAATCCGTGTCATAAACAGGAAGTGCAAGTTTTCCTATTGCATCCTTCAAGTTACCTGTAAACGATTCTAAATTCAATACTTTGTCAAAATTTGATAATGATGACAGTACTTTCCTTTTTGTTTGACAGTTGTTTATCGTTTTCAAGAGTGTACAAGGTACCACATTCCACTGAGCTACAACCATCAGATCCTGAGGAATGGTCTGAACCGCTTCACTGTCGTCCGGAAACGTTCCATCTGCTTTATCTTTTCCCTTACATTTCTTCAGCCGTCGCGCAAAAAACTTCCACACATCGCAAATCCACGATGAGTTGGGAATGCGTTTGTTATCAGGCAGGAAAGTAACCATTTCCTTTGGATTTCTAAAAATTTTCGGGGGCAAGCTTTCTGCTAGGTAGTTGGCAAATGAAGGGATATCAAAAGATTTAAATACATTTTCCTGTAATTTCTCTATATTACAAAGCGAGACTAAACGTTGATGGAGAAATTGACTTCCAGAACCGGGTAAAATAGAAAACATTTCATTGCAAAATATTTCACTACCCTCCTTGAACACTCGTAGTTTCCTATCCTGAGTTAAACACAATGGTACATCGACAATGCTCGAAGCAAAGTCTTCACTGTCTCGGCAGTATTGCAGTAATGCTGAAACCTTTACCAGATTTAGTAGACTTGTACTTGACAAATGTGTACCATCCTCCTGAATCAAAATGTTACATCTATGTTCAATATCTCTCCTGCTGAATGATTTCATGAACCCCATAATAGTTTTCGGTGATATTTCAGATACAGGTACCTCAGCATCCTTCAAACTTTGAAATCTTTGTTTGGGTGAATCCAGCAGCCTCAGTCCAATGTCTTTCATCACTTGCGCTAAACGTTTTTGATCCTCCCATGTAAGTCTTTCTTGGGTTTTCTTTTTGTGATATTTTAAGGTGTTGAAGACTGCAGGAAATTCTTCTTTCGGCTCTTTCAGAGGCATGAACACTGATGGTAGTTTGGCACTGGCACTGCTTTTATGCGATTTATATAGGTAAAACAATTGATGACCACCATTGTAAATCTGGTTCAGAACTTCTTTTGCCAGTAATTTCCAGTTATCATCTTTTGCATCCTTATAAATAGGAAACACGTCATCAAGCTGCCGTGTCTTTGTGACAAGACCAGACTCTCCAAGGTCTGACAGAAGCATTTGTTTGATTCTCTGCATGCTTGCGATATAGGCAGAAGGAATGACCCGACTCAGCAGTAGTTTATTCCACTCCCACTTGTAAGTTCGTCGTTCTTTATTCCACAAACTACTTCTTGCCTCTCCACCAAGTGCGAAATGGCCGTTTATATGGACTGGCAGACCAGTGTCTACTGGCAGTGGCAGGAAACAAAATGCTTTGTGTCTTTGTTCTGATGATGTGTGTGGTTTAAGACGAATAGCTACACCACCTCTTGGTAGCAGCCCGAGGTTTTCATTTGTGTACGCATCATTTATTTCTTCGGGAATGTCACCATCTCCAAACCCTACCTGTTGCACTACAAGCCATTTGTTCGAAACACCATTGCTGTCTTTCACTGTGATGTTATAAGAAACGGATTTATTCTGTATGCTTAATAGATCCTGAGTGTCTCTGAAGTTCTTACTCATATCACGTAAATGGTTTCCAAAAGCTGTCCGTTTTTCCTCGTTCGCTTTAGAGATGATAATTTCAACTTCATATAGTGGTTTGAACTCACCGGCGGAAATGTCTGAAAGGGATATCTTCTTAACAGAATTAACAAATAGCAATGCTTCTAACAGGTCTCTCTCAAATGTCTTCAACAGGTTCCGAAGCTTCTCGGGTGGCATTGAATCTGCTAAATGCTTTCTCGTTTTATCGTCTGCTCGAAGTGGGAATCTGAAAACTGTTCCTTTGCTTGTCAAAAGTTTATCTTCGTGGAAACACTTGAAAACATCTGGATATAAATATCTGTGTTCATCTAGATTCATCAACTGAATTCCAGGTCGTTCATCAGTGGCATCTGATAAAAATTGGCAGTGTGGGTCCATGACACACATTGTTTCCCCTCCTTCAACCTTGGGGCCCTTCGTGAGGAATGAGGGTGCATCCGTTAGATGGTACACAGCATTGAACCCCACACCGTACTGGCCAGTTTTTGTTGGGTCGTCCCCTTGGCTGCCTATACCAAGGTCCTGTATTCCTTGAATATCCTTAGCACTTAACATGCTATCATTATAAACAAGAAGAGCAGGGCCTTGTAATACTTTCCATTTATCATCAAAAACTCTTTCGTCTGAGTAGGTGTTATCATCTATGATGAATTGAAGTTCTGTTGCTTGTGCATCATCTGCATTCTGCAGAAGTTCTTTCATGATTCCTTCGTCACATGGATAGCCTCTTAAAATGTCTTTTATTCTTGTAGTCAATTCTTCTTTTTGTCCGAAAGGTAATCTTTTCGTATTGTCCGAGAAGTGTTGTTTTGTCTTGGCCTTTACACCAAGTGTGCGGGCAAAATCCGGACCAATTTTCCCGTTTACAAATTTCATTGTCCCAGTTGTTTTGATTTTCTTATTGTCATTCAAGCACAACTCATTGATTGGTGTCAGGACACCTTTCACATCTGGAATACACAATTGTGTTAAAACCCCCTCATCATCTGTGATTGCACATATTCCATGATAGTCCATTTCTTCACGTTCCATACACTTAACTAGGACTTTGATGAGTTTGGTGTAGAGTTCCAATTCATCTTCTGTCAGCTGCTCTTCTCCTTTACAAGTTTGCTTTTCCAACATGACATTTAAAATATCATCTGTGGTAAATTTGCTTTTGATATCAAGAACACGCAACAGATGTTTGCATTTTGATCCAAGATGATGGGTCTGCAATCCAAATAGATGAGGTTCGCAATCAGTTAAAATGCTGAGTGCAGTTTGTTTTGGTTTCACAAAAACATTGTGGCAGAAAACAACAGGGTGCTCTTTTAAATTAGTAATGTAGCTCATTTCCGTTTCAGAAATAGTTTCGTTGGATATTCTTTTACTCAAGAAAGAGTAAACTTCATTGCAAATTGTCTTGAGCAGCTGTTTTGTGTTCTCCACCATCGTAACTGGGTCAGTGGTTTCGCAAAGTTGAATCAAATGTCTGCAAACAACTTTGATAGGAATGGTATCAACTCCATTGACGCCCAAACGAGAGAAAAGGTCTCGTCCAGGAGAAACCAATGTTTTGTAGCAAGACACATCCATAACAAGCTCCTGAGGACCAACCAGATGTTGAGATGATGTCAGATAAAGACATTTTGGTTTTGCAAACTGAACATTTTCCTTAATCTCCTTAATCTCATGGTTACAGTTGGCGACTTTTACTTCTTTCATGGTAGTTAAACCGTTATTAAAAGATTGACAGTCTGCTCCCCATCGGAAAGTCCAGTCCTGTGGTTTCTTCAGAATTGGTAGGTATGGTATGTCTTTCAGTTGTTTAATAAGCGACACTTCAGACATACATTTTGTTTGGATGTATTGAATAATGGTGACGGACCTGTCTATTGCACACTTGTCACATTCCCGTGACAAACCCAGTACACTCTCCACTCTATCAACGACCAAGTGTGATGGCAATGTTTCAACTATCATCCCGATGTCTGCCAGCTGTTTCTTTCTGTTCCTGATTCCAGCTTCTATCATTTCCTCATGTACAAACCGTCCTTCACATGTTGCAAACAAATTTTCTAGCTCACTATCCGGATGTATCAGTTCATGAGGATATTTCATTTCTCCTGTTGGTTTTGAAGGAATGCATTTCGTGCTACTAAGCAAGTTTTTGGTAGTCTCACTAGTATTATCTACAGCAAACATTACAAGCATGTTCCTTTCTTTGGATTGCCAAAAATCTGACAGCATTTCTGGAAAAAGCACTTCTGTGAAGAAATGATCTATCGAAAATATCTTTGTTTTGATGGTAGTTTCAAGGCCAGCATTGCTGAAGGTGGCATCCAACTTCTTTTGTAATCTCATAACCTTTGTATTATCGTTCTCTTCGGTTTCCAAGAAATGAATAGCTGCTTTGAAGGCAATATCTCCAACGTCTGATTCAATAAGTTCTGGGTCCATAAACCTACAGTCATCATATTTTGCCCAAATGTCATGTCTTTTGAACACTCTTGGGTTTTCCTCAACAATTGTTGTCAGAAATGCCTTCTGCATGTGCTGCAGTTCACTTGAACATTCTGGATAAATAGGTCAAATGTTCATGTATTCCTCATCAACGACACCGTTGTAATTGTGCAAACTTTCAAGAAGACAGACATAAGCTTTAGGAACTGCATCAGTCATTAGTGAATGATTCCAACGAGGTTTAAACAGTTCAGTCTTATCATCCTCTGTTCCCCACATAATTGAGCGTCTATCTGACGCTACAGCAAATGTAGCGTTAATGTGAACAGGCAGTCCTGTTTGTATTGGTAGTGGAAGAAATGAGAAATAATGACCCGTTTTGTAAAATCCAAATGGCATGTTACCCAACAACGTTAACTTGACAACACATCCATTTTTCTCGATTGGCGTTGCAACGCCTGCCAGAGGTAAAACACCCTTTACCTGTTTTGAGATCTTCAGACTTTTTGAAGTGCCTGTTGCATAGGCGATAATCCATCGAGTGCACAATCGTGTCTCTGACACTCTATAAGATATGAAGCGTTTTGCAGCGTTTTCCACTTGAATGTTGATGTCAGCTTGAATTATTTTTTTGTACTTCAGGTACATGTACGTCTTGGACTGGTGAATACAGCGCCGATACCTCTTTCATGATGTTAAATGTATTTGCAATCTGTATGCTTTGATAATCTGAGTCTATCATGTTTTTGGTAGCTGTAAATATCAGAGTGCTCTGACTGGGATCTGTGGCATTAGCTGGCAGGTGATACACTTCTATTTTTGTCACGTTTTGTGTAAACAGTAACATATTTCCACCATTTTCCATCAGCATGTGCAGTAGTTCCTTTATATCGGACTTGGAGTAGGCGCTGTCCTTTATTTCACTTTTCCCTGCTTGTTCATTTGTCCTTAAAGGAAGCCGAAACAGTGTTCCTTCATATGAATGAAGATCTTCTCCCATAGTCATATCACAACCAAACACTCTATTGAACGGTTTGAATTGATTTTTCATTCTTCTGACAAGCCTCTGATTCTGCAAACTTCTCAGGTTGATTTTGATGCCTGGTTCCTTCCCTTTAACAGCACTGCCTAAATTTCTGTAGTGAGGATCAAAAATGACAAGATCAGTGCCTGTGATGAAGCTTGGGACATCCGTCAAATTGTACACAGAGCAAAACCCTAATCCAAATTTCCCGATTTTAGTGTCGTCCTCCTGTTTGGTTGCTCCACCGAGTTTTGTGATGTTACGTAAATCAGTCTCAGTGAATTGCTTATTATTGTAAGCCCAAAGAGCAGCACCTTGGAAACTAGACATGTTTTCATCTATCAGTCGTGTTCGTGCGTCCATGTTTTCACGTTCGTCGTAAAGAAAACAAACTTTTGTGGCCCCGGCATCATCAGCATTTTGAACAATCTCCTTTGGAACAGATAAACCATCCGTATAACCATCAAGCAGGCCTTTGATTCTTCTTGTAAGGTCTTCATGCTGTCCACAAGGTTCTATTGCTTCTGTATCGGTCAGCAGGCCCTCTGTCAGTGAACGAACACCAAGAGCCTGAGCAGTATGTGATGGAATGTTAGCGTGTACATAATAAATGGTCTCTTCTTCCTCCTCTGCGATCACTTTCAACCACTCTTCATTACTGTATCTACACTCGGAAGCAGACATGAGCTGCAATCTTGTCTCGGATCCTGTATGGACAGGAAACAGAATATCCAGGTGTGCAACAGATTTGGGATCCTGTTTGTATTTCGTCAGTATTTGCACAGTAATGTTCAAGTCTTTGCCCACATCGTTCTTAGAATCACATGTTTGCCCATCATGCTTATATTTGATTTTTCCCTGTACAATACGAAGAACGTCGACGGTCTGCTTGTCATGACAGCCAATAGCCTCAAAGAATTGTTTGATAGATAGAAACTCTCTTGGTAGACAATACATGTAGGGCTCTAAGGGGATGTCTCC